TAGATACGGAAGCTATCTTATATAAGTCAAGCAATGTACGCGCAATGTTGATTTTTATGTTATTTAGATGATTTAAAAGCAACATTATTAGTGTTTGTCAACATTTTGAACAGAATTATTACTAGCAGAAAAGGAAAAGGTGGAACTCTATACATATTCCGGGTTGCGGTCATGGCTGATTGATACTCCTTGTCTCTCCCATTGGACCTATCCGTTATTCTCCTCTTTTCCCCCCTCACAAAGTCGCAAATATCAACGGGAATATTTCACCTCTGTGCTCAAGTTGTCACCAAGCATATCATATATATTCAAACTCATCAATTCAACCAAAAAAAAAGAAAAGGACTTGCCTGTCTAATTACCTGACATACGCATTTTGTCACATCCTAATTCTTTTGAGATTTTAAGTGATAGTTTTACCCTTAAAATAAACATAGAACCAAACTTTAGGCTTAGAAAATGTGTGGGTGTGTATATACTCACAATATAACATAGAACAAATTATGTGTGTATAAAAAAAAATATATTTTATATTAAATAAATAAAGCAGGGATAAAATAAAAAATATATATAGATTGATTTGAAAAATCTATTTAAATTTTACGTTACTTCAAATATCTTAAAAATTATCTTGGAATTTACTTCAAATATCTTAAAAATTATCTTAGAATTTGTTTTATTCCAATAATAATAATGATAATAGCAATAATTTAAAGGGATCTGATTTAAATTTTAAGACACTCTAAAAGATCTTAAAGATTTCATCAGAATCAATCAGGTTATGTTTAATCAAATTCAAAATATTAATAATAAAACGATAAAATAAGAGAATGGAATTTAAAACTTATAAATTTAAAAACTTTTTGTAGATATCACACTCTCGAGAATTCCCTCATCAGCCGTCACTTTCTCAAGGTCCTCCATCCTTGCTTTTGTCCTCTTCCCTTCCCCTCCCTCACATCCACACGGTCTCTTTCTTTCTTATTTCTTTTCCATTTCCCATTGACACTTGTTTCACCTCCTTCTTGGCTTTTATTGGTGTTGTCCTCATTCTTCCATCTTGAAATTGGCATCACGTGAGTTTCTCTCCAGGTCTGTGTGGTGACTTAATCTCAAATGAGTTGCGTAAAAATGAGAGAAGATTATATATACAAATGTATATTGTATATACTCAATTGCAATTTCCTCACTCCCTTCATACTTTTCACCTTCCTTTGTCCTTTTTCTTGCTTACACACCTACATATAATTTTATATTAATAGTTCTGAACCTTAGAAAGGGTAAGAATTTCCTATATGTATGTGATGCCGTGAAGTAGGATTAAGAAACTTTTGTCAGGTATTTAATTTTCAACATTCATATATATATATAAACATTAAAAAAAAACATCCTACCATAAATGATGCGATTATCTAATATGGTTTTTTTTAATAGATGTTACACACACACGTGTTCCATTTTCATATAAACACATATAAACATGTGTTTCATTTGGTTTTTGGTTATATTTAATTACAATTTGTCTTCTCTACAGTATACATATACATAAATATAAAATACTACCTCCGGTCCTAATTATAAGAGCTAGTTGACTAATTTGAGGAGATTAAGAAAAGAAGTTAAGTTAGTTATTTGTAATAAATGTGTTGTCTTTCCTAAAATATACTTATTAATAAAGTGTATTGACTAAAACTACTATTGTTAGAGGGACTACTTTGGGAAACAATGTATAAATATAAGAGACAAAGTGGATTGAATTTTATATTTAGGACTAAAATAAAAGTCAAACAAGGTCTTACATTAAGGATTGGAGGTAATATATATATATATATATATATATATAACATGGATTCAATTAAATCAACTAAAATTTGAGAAAACTTTGTAAACTAAAGAAATTACATATAAATTATTATTATAGTAAACTGATTAAATTATAAATGAATATTGTTTTAAAATAGAATTTTGGGACCTCTGGAATAGCCTTTAGATTTTAGAATAGCTTTAGAGTAACTTTAGAGTGGTTTTGAGAAGCATAGTGGTAGATTTTGTGCTGTGATTTTGTAAACAGTCATTGAGGATTTTGGAGTAATAACTTTTGTTTAAGCATTAGGTGAGACTCTTCTTATTTGCCTCACTTATCGGGACTATTAGTGAGCTTTGTGAAAATCCCAGAATGAAAATTTAGTTTATGATTGATATATTGGACTTTTGGTCTTAATGAAATTGCTTGGTGGAACAATTATTGCTTCAAGATACCGTGTGATATAAGTTGTTTAGCCTTTATTATGCTAATAGTTTGGTCTATGATTTGTGCGAGATTCGTTGTGCTGAGAAGTAGTTGTTTAGACTAACTAAATGGTAATTAAGATTGACTGATTAATTGTTATTAAGGGAGCAGGTTTGTGATAGAGAAATGATATTTGTGACCACGTGGCACGGCCGCCATATGGCGCTATGTGGTCGATGACTTTCTTTTGCCAGGGTAGCATCTCCTAGGCTTGCGACATTCTAGTGATTCATACCCGAATAGCATCCCCTGCTAGAAGAACCTATGACCCTTGTGTGCCCTGTTGACTTTGGCCAGTCCGCATCACACTGGTGGATAGCAATTAGCCCATGAGTTCATGTTGGTGGGAATAAGGAGGAGATAAGGTTGGAACTAGTAATAAAATAGAATGTAAACTTTCATGTTTTGTAAAATTTCTTGTCTTGCTATACCTTAAATTGTTATAATTTTAGCTCTACTGTTATTATAAACACTTTGTGATATACTTGAACTGTTGACCTAATCACCTAGTTATTGGTTTCCATTCATCTAGTTAATTTAGGGAACTACATTTATTATGATCTTATCATTGCAGAGCTTGATTAGTATGTTTAGAACCGTTGGATCTGCTTCCTTTAAATATAAGATCCAAACAACCTTTTTTACTTTACAAATTAATTTTATAAAAGTCAATTCAGATATAAATTATATTATCCAATTTAACTTTTACTCAATCTCACTTTTCTAAAAATCAGATAAAAAATAAATTACTTTTTCTATCACTAATTCAAACGGACTCATAAAATTTGAGAAATATTGAATACATAAAAACTACTTTCATTACTGCATAGCCCGGCCGTACTAGCCAATATTATCTTAGGGGTCACTTGATCGGAAAGTACAGAGAATCTAAAAGGCTTAATTTATTAGGATGTTAGTGCTCATAATAATAATACTTCACATTCACAAATGAGAAAGTAATTTACACGAATGATACTACCTCCGGTTCTAATTATAAGAGTTAGTTGACTAATTTGAGGAGATCAAGAAAATAAGTTAAATTAGTTATTTGTAATAAATAGGTATTGTCTTTCTTAAAATATCCTTATTAATCAAGTTTATTGGCTAGAACTACCATTATTAGAGGGACTATCTTGAAAAAAAAAAAGTACAAATATAGGAGACAAAGTGGATTGGGGTCTTATAATTAGAATCAAGATAAAAGTCAAACGAGACCTTATATTAAGGACCGAAGGTTGTGTGTGTAAGCAAGTTATACTTCGTATTCTTCAGGCAAACTAATTGTGTTTTTTTTTAAGAAAATAGTTGTAACTTTCTATTAAGTAGTAAAAGGGTAACTAAACAACTTATATATTAAATTTCTGGAAAAAAATATATTATTTTGGGACGTATAGAAAATTATGCTACCTCTTAGGTCATAAATATAATACTCCTCCGGTCCTAATTATAAGACCCAATTGACTTATTTGAGGAGATTAAGGAAATAAGTTAAGTTGGTTATTTATAATAAATAAGTGTTGTCATTCCTAAAATATCCTTGCTAATTAAGTATATTGGCTAAAACTATTATTATTAGAAGGATTATCTTGAAAAAAAATGCATAAATATAAGAGACAAAATGGATTGGGTCTTATAATTAGGACCAAATAAAAATCAAATTGGGTCTTATAATAAGGACCGGAGAAGTATCTACTTTATAAAGGAAATTTTTTAGAACGTAATACAGTTGAAATAACCCCCTTTGCACGCTCGCACACATATATAGAGCAAGGGGAGAGACACGCTTATACGGTTATGACAGGCGATTTGTTGTAACTATAATTACGGTAGGCATATATATTACTCCTCTGATCCTTAATATAAGACCTATTTAACTAATTTGATTAGATTAAGAAAGTTAGGTAAGTTAGTTAATTATAAGAAATGTGACACGTTTTTCCTAAAATACCATAATCGTCTTTCTTAATACCTCATCTCTCTCTTCTACTTGATTATGGTTGAGGAAGTATCCATAGGGATAATTTAGAGAAAATTGATAAATATGAGAAATGGATTTTATATTTAAGACCAAAAACTAACTCAACAATTGGGTCTTATATTAAGGACTGGAGGAGTATTAGTTGAGAAACAGACTAACTAATTACAGAATCTTAATTTTTCTGGGACAGAGTCAATCACCCCCAATCATACATAATGGCTAGCTTGAACACGAAGACTTACATAATGGAGTAGGACACAGTGGTTTAGTTGGAGAGGATTGATGAGAAAATATATAGAATGGCAAACCCACATCCATCACCTTGCATAAAGAAGAAAGAAATTGGACCCCAACAAGCATTAAAAAAGTAATCTTGATATTTTTGTAACGATTCCGGAAAACATAAAAAAAACAAAAGCCTAAACGACGAAAAGAATGCATATTTGGTGCCAATTCAGCTTATGCGGATCAACTTGCAACCCCACCAATAGGTACCCGTCGTTGCTTTCTGGAAAAAGAGATATTTCGTATACTAAAAGCACACTGCGTAGTGTGGTTGACAAAGAACGAAGAATCCAATGATAAGACCGAGAAGCAAAAGCAGATGCCAGAGAGCCACACACACACACACACACACACACACACACAGACTGGAAAGAAACCAAAACAAGGAAAGCAAACATATATAGGACAGTGCTGGGGATATCATACAACATCATAATCGTTGAAATAATGGCATCGTTACGAGATGGCAGTAGTGGAGAAACTGCTCTCGCAGTTGGGAGGGTGATAGGGGATGTTCTGGACCCTTTCACAACTTGTATTTCAATGAGGGTTGTGCTTGGGAACAGAGATATTAGTAATGGCTGTGAACTCAGGCCCTCCCATGTTGTTAATCGCCCTAGAGTTTCCGTCGGAGGAAATGACCTCAGGACCTTCTACACTCTGGTATTTATTTACGAACGCTGATCTTTTCTGTAATTAACATTGTCCCTTATCGATCAGCTAAGCTAATATTATCGGCATTAGCTTAATTCATTATTTTTGCTAATGATCTCAGATCCTGGTGGATGCTGATGCGCCTAGCCCCGTTAACCCTTTCCTGAGGGAGTACTTGCACTGGTCATTTTCTCTCTACCCTGCCCTCTTCTTCATAAGTAGAATACATATTGCAGAATTTGAAAATGCATTTTGCTGTATGTTTTCGATATATATTCTCAGAAAGGATATGTTCTGCTTTAGTCATGTCATCAAATTGTGCATAATTTTGATCTGCAATGAATATTCACTGACTCGTATTAATTAAATATTCGTTTTGAATTGACATTTGCAGGATGGTGACAGATATTCCTGCTACCACGGATGCAACTTTTGGTAAACATAAGATCTTTTATCATATGAGTATACATAGGCATAGATTTGACTAGTCATATATAGCGAGCTCGCAAACATGGGTTACGTATAGATGAAAGATTTAGAGATGAGTGATTTTAGTGCAGCATTATATTGAATGGTGATATATGTATATATACACATGTTTGTACAGGGAAGGAGGTAGTTTTCTACGAGAGCCCACAGCCATCGGCGGGGATTCACCGATTTGTAACGATGTTGTTCCGGCAGCTGGGAAGAGAAACAGTGTTTGCACCAGAATGGCGCCACAACTTTAACACCCGAGAGTTCGCTGAGACCTATAATCTTGGATCTCCTGTTGCTGCTGTTTACTTCAATTGTCAGCGAGAACGTGGTTGCGGTGGAAGGAGGACTAGCTAGCCATTATCATCCATACTAATTCACTCCTCCTAAAAGCTCATCAAACTAATGAATAATGACCTCTAGCGGAACCAGTTTTGATACTCATTATTTTGATAAGTACCTTAAACTCATCAGATCTAAACCGTTTATATCTGATTTAAACGGTTCAGATTTAAAATTTTTAATTAATTATTTTTAAATAGAAAAAACTATTTTTTAAAAGAATGACAGTTAACAAATCATCACTATTTTAGATTCTATACATATTAAAATAATTATTTTGAATAAATAAAAAAAAAGAAATCAAATTTAAGCCATCTAAATGAGATATAGATGGTTCAGATCTGATGAGCTTAGAATGTTCATCAAAAGGATGAGCACCGAAATTGATTCCAACTTTCTAGCTGGCTTCTCTATTTACTATACTTACAAGAAACCTATGTATCATTCTTATATATATATCTACTTGGTTAAACATTAGCATTTAAGGAAGCACGTATGGCTTGTACCAATAATTATGCACCATAGAGTTCAACATATGGTCCATAAATGCCATTTCTCTCTCATTTCTGCCTCATTATTATGTTGTTTCTATGCTTTTCCCGCTAACTTGAATCTGGATTAATCCAAGCTGAGGATACAATATGACCAGGCTCAGAAAATCATTAAGTTGTTAATTCCTGTTTTACTTTCCACACATTTTAACTAGTTTGATTATGCGAGAAAATCTAGGAAGAAAACCTATCCTTTTTCTAATATATCGAATCTTCGTACGTCAGCAATATATACTAATCACCTTCTGATCGGAGTTAAAGGCTCCAACAAGAAAAACTATGCCATAAAAGTGCTTCAGCGGAGAAATGAATCAAACAGCATCACTTATTTCAGGTATGGGGTCATCATAAAGGGCTTTGTTCAAAATTTACGAATCCTGTCCCTTGCATGAACTAAATTCCCTTTGAAGAGAAAATCAACTGGAAGTCAATTTTTAATTTGAAGATAGAGATGTCATCTTTGCGTGCCTTTGGGAGATAACTCACCAAAACTTTTATGTTGGTCCGTTAAGAGTTATCGGATTATCCTACGTACGTACTGGTGGTCAAACGGTAGAGGTAATCAACCAGTGATCTTTCAAGTTTGAACTCGTCTTCCTCTCACATGCATGTACCATAAACTAGCATTGAAAGTAAGAACATTGAAGCTATCAGTACTAATTATACAATCTATCTCTTGAATTATATTATTATTTCCTGAGATAATTAATATCTGCTGACATCAAGCACACATCTCCACGTCAATAGTTGTTTAATTTGTGTCGTCATAAAAATAATCAACTCATTATGCTCATCACAAAAAGTGAAATTTTATTAGAAAGTAACTGAATTCGAAACCAATACATACATACATACATATATATATATATATATATAGAGAGAGAGAGAGAGAGAGAGGGTAATACTCGCACAAAAATAATTGAACGTAGAATCGAAATGATGGAATGCGCGCGCACACACACACACATGATGTCGTCGATGAGTTCGAATTAAGTTATAATCAATCGATCAGCCATTTCCGAAACCCAGAAATAACTTCTATGCATGTTTTATTGCTAGGAGGAGAAGATGTAAAAGTTCAGGCCATCAACCTTTTTAGATGATCGGATTTCATGAACTATAAAAAAAAAAACAGATGAATTGATTCTATCATAACCTTTAAACCATATCCAGCTTGAAGGATTGTTAAAATCATACCATATAAAAAACAAGACAAAGAGGGAGAGAGAAAAGAGAAGGAAAAGGACATGCAGATGCCAACTTTTTAGGATAAGATAAGACGCACTACAGTGGGCACAAAAATAGCTTGCTACAAACTTGAGATTCATCTCCAGTATTGTCGTTTATGATCGATACACTCCCTCATTTAATTATATGCAGCGTACAGCATAAGAAAAAGCTTGAAAGGGACGATATTCGAGACGACGATAGATGGGCTCTCTGAGGTTTCATTCTCAAATTTATTATTATTTTTAAATGCAGTATAAACTAATAATGGAGTCGGTTAACTTATGATCATTTTGACATATGCCTAAGTAATGCGCCAGAAGATGAAAGGATGTTGAAAAATTGGACCACTGATTTTTTTCCCCCCCTTACTTTCTCACTTCTCTGCTGAATCAACTTGTTGTTTGTCGGCCGGATAGACCAACTTGTTATTTGTAACATGTATAGTGGGCGTGTCATTCAAATTCCAGTGTGCCCTTTTTTTAATTGGTTGCATGCATAATACATATTATATATTACGAATGAAAAGGACTCGTTGGGACCAAGTTGCATGCATCCGCGGAAGACATTGGGAGGCCGACACAGAAATTGCAGAATCCCTATTGAGAAATCATCTTTGAATAGCATCCTCAGTTAGTCTATCTGCTAGTTGATTCCTCCAATAGCAATGTACGTAAAGAAACGAGGAATCTGAAATTGTGGCGTGCGATTAAGAGATGGACAGCGACATGGTTGAGAATCATATTGTTAAAATGCGCAACATTGTGGCTTTTGCTTTACACTGGATTAAGACCGGCCAGAAACACTGGGCTTCCTCATATACGCATATGTACGCGGCTCTTCATAAGAATTACAAAAAGGGGGACGTATGCATCATTATGTTGAATTCTAGAACAGAGAAGATGGTTCGATGATTGAGATGTGCACCAAGACCTTAGAACATATATGTGGGTATATATCTGCAGAACCAGTACGGAGAGGATCCCATCTTTTCTCATTTTTCTTTCGGCCCAAAGGAGAAGATTCTTTCATCTTTTTTCTGGTTTCTGGCCAATAGGAGATGATTCCATCTTAATTGATTGTTTTGCTGTTAGGCATGAGTTACAGAGAATGGGAACAGAATATCGCAGCTGTGACTTGCTCCACAATCTATCAATCGCTCGATCAATCCGTACCATATCTATTTTGTTCTCTTCAAAAGTTCTCTTCATTTTAACTTTTCTGCTCATTTTTTAAAACAGCTTTTCTTCTGATCTATCTATTTTCTTCTGTGTATTGTTAAGATGTGACTCCCTCTTATCTGTTCATTGCAGCCGTAACTTCAATTCATCATAACACAAGTAATTAAGGATCTGTACAGATTTATTCCAGTTTTTGAATTTGTAATTTTGTCTTACTTTGAAAATAAGCATGTATGCTACGTTACAGTAACAAGCTAAGAATGGGAACAATTATTAATACACACGCTATATATTAATTACATGTATATCAATTAAACATCGGCTACTTTTTCTTTCTGCTTTTTTTTGTGTGCAAAGAGCTATTTTTTCTTTTAAAAAAATAATATAACTATGCAATATGAAAATAATAAGTTGTTCTTTTTCTTTCCCCAAAAGAATACCATTATTGTTTGTTATGCCTAAGTTTTGAAAATTGGTGGCGACTCGATGACGGGACGTACGCTATTGAATTGAAAGTAATTTTTTCTTTTTTATATTAACGATATTTTTTATAAAGAAGACCTATATATATGTGGAGTTGTTTGAGATTGCGGTCTAGCAAGTATTGTCCCTCTTGGAAAATATAGTCTGCTCCAACCGTTTTGCACATATGATAATTACACCGTTCACAGAAAGTATTTATCAAAAAAAAAAAATTCAAATCTCAACACACACATACCGAATATGATATTGGATATATCATCATGATATTCATGACATAAATTTTTTTTTTAAAAAAATTAATGTTGGGGAAATGAAGAATTTGTATGGGATGTATTTGGATTATTTGGATTGGAAAATTGAGTTTGGTTGTAACTGATTTATAAAATTAATTTATAATGTTGGTTTTTTTAGAAAAATATCCCAACACCCTTATATAATGCCAGAATCAATTATGAACCCAAAATCATGATTATCTCATAAGCTATCAAACACATCTATAGATGTCAAAACCACTATAACAAATTAACCCACAGGCATAGTTATCTCATAAGCTAATGTTTCTTTTAAATCATACTTTCTTGATAATTTATCCAAACACCGTGTTTTAATTAAATCAATATGCTCAAAATCATGTTTATAAATCAATAATTTATCAACTCCATCTTATTCTGCGCTAATCCAAACGCATTCAAGTTAAAGCATATGAAAACTACTTATGAGAAACGTTGTTTAGGGTATCATATTTGATTTGATCAAAATGTAAGTGTTTTTGATTGAATTTCTAGGAAACCATATATATATATATATATATATATATATAGTTTCGACATTAAAAAATGATTTTGAAGGGTATCCACGCAAACGATCATTCTTGGAGGAATGACAGAAGAGCTATTATACGGAAGAATGGTTGAAGTTGTTAACCAGATCAAAAAGTACATCATGCTACATTAATCTCGGCGAATTATATGCAGTTGCATCCAGAAACCTCCGTCTTTTAATTTCGAGTCATTAAACCCTCTGGAATGGATCTGATGTTTGGATGAGAAATTGGCTCAACTCATCACACCATATCTTCAATCAGCTTGACTAGATAGAGCGACGACCATTTCATTCACACACACACACACACACCAACCCCATATCTTAAGCATTTTAACACACACACACACACAAAGCAGCATCAAACTTACTACTTGAAGAGTATTTAATTATTTTTTGAAACTCTTAGAAATGCACGCAATGGCAAATGACATTTCTGTCAGCTTAAGCTGACCACATATATACTAAGTCAGATATCAGATATCTAATATGCGTTATATATATAAATATATCTATTGAAAGCTGCCGATGAAGCGGCCTCCACCTTACTACATATATAGTAGCATAAGAGAAAAGGAGATTAAAGGAGGAATAATTGTAAAATTTAAGTCAGTCTTCGTCCACCAGTGCCAGTCTCCCTCTGACAGTTGAAATAGAGGGCTGCAACGGGAGAGCCGAGATTGTAAAGTTGAGAAAATTGTCTGTTATTGAAGTTCAGGCGCCATGCCGGAGCATACACCGTCTCCCTCCCCAGCTGCTGATATAACACAAACACAATCCTGTGAATCCCCATCACTGGTCGCGGACTTTCGTACGGTATCACCTCTTGACCTACATAACCATTCATTTCTATCATCATCATCATCATCATTAAAGAAGGCGAATCAGTAAGTAATTAAAGATGAAGAGTGTAGAATTAGTTACGTACCGAAACTGGTGCCAGTAGTTGCCGGAATATCAGTCACTAACCTGAAGTCCATTTCCAGAGAGGGATACTTTCGTTAGCTATACTTATAAACCAAACACACGCATATATATATGTATGTATGTATGTATATATATCAGTCATCTATCTACCGGATACCAAAAGTTGGGAGAAACCCTTGACCTAAATCTGATCATAAAGCTATATTATACATATAAGGAGGGCATGTTTGAACCGAAGAAGAATAAAGAAGATCAACAGATCAGATAATCACCAGTGAAGATATCCATCTATCGGATACCAAAACTTGGGAGAAACCCTTGATCTAAATCTGATCATAAAGCTATATTATACGTATAAGGAGGGCATATGTTTGAACCGAAAAAGAATAAAGAAGATCAACAGATCAGATACTCACCAGTGAAGATATCCATCTATCGGATACCAAAACTTGGGAGAAACCCTTGATCTAAATCTGATCATAAAGCTATATTATACGTATAAGGAGGGCATATGTTTGAACCGAAGAAGAATAAAGAAGATCAACAGATCAGATAATCACCAATGAAGATATCCATCTATCGGATACCAAAACTTGGGGAGAAACCCTTGATCTAAATCTGATCATAAAGCTATATTTTACATATAAGGAGGGCATGCTTGAACAGAAGAAGAATAAAGAAGATCAACAGATCAGATACTCACCAATGAAGATATTCCCTCAAATTTGGGTCACTTGGGCTGGGGGCATCAACGTCTATCATGACCTGCAATTAGGTAGCGTCCAGGATAATCAACCAGAGTATACGCACAGAGAGAGGGAGAGAGAGAGAGAGACACACACACACGACAATACATATAATTATACTACCAGTTATAAGTTCGTTGATGAGATGTTGGGAGATATATAGATGATATATAGATAGACTTACTAGGGTGTAGAAGTTTCTGAGGTCGTGTCCACCAATAGTGACTCGTGGCTGGGCGACAACATGGGAGGGTCTGAGATCACAGCCATTGTAGATATCTCGATTAGCGTACGACACTCTCAGAGGAACCGAATTGTCGAAGGGATCTAACACATCCCCTATGATTCGTCCAAGAACAAGAGGGTCCCCACCTCCTCCGCCGCCTCCAGCTCCAGTTCCGCCTCTAGGCATTCTGTTTCTATACGCAAACTTCGACCACCCAAATCCTCACACAAATGCTCAACTTGTTTGCGTGGCCACCCCCTTATTTATACTCAGTAGTTCACACTGGGCTGAGAGGGAATTAATGAGATATTTTTATGGCAAAAGGTCCAGATTCGTGTGTTAATTACGGTTCTTAAAGATGCCATTTAATTTGCCTGCGTCTACATAGCACGAATTTCAAAGTAAGATCTACGTATCTCCGAGTCTTATGAATTCAATCATGGTTAATCTGAATATTCAGACCCGGTTTAAATATTAGCCGCTGGACCTGCTCCAAGTAGCTAGTGATCGTGCATGCGCCGCAGAAAATATAATTTCTTCAATATTTGAAATCCCCACAGACTTTTTCTCTGAAAAGTGAAAACATGTGATGTGGGTTCAGAATTTGTAAAGTTTGTAGAAACTTTATTCCTGTCTAACGTGGGACTTGAATATTTCTCATTTTTCCATAGCTAATTTTCAAATTCGAATGACCTCTAACATATTTTTCAGCCCTTTCTATTGGCATATGTTTAAATATTCCGCCCCCCCCCCCAAAAAAAAAAAGGTGTTCAGACTTTGTATGCAGCTGTGAAGATGCCACATGTATATAGGTTATATGCAATTAAATCAGTTATATAAATGGGCGTACGTGAATATTTAAGTAATTGATCAAGTAAAGTATGTAGGTTGTAGTTATAGTTATCTAGATATCCATAAAGTAAAGAAATCAACAAACGCTCTTATTATTGTGACATGATGTAAATGTGGCGGGTGTTTTTAATTAATTTGTAAAGGTACTTCCCGTGAGTAATGAGAGAATCAAATAAGACGTGGCCAAAAGATTTAGGAAATTTGCATGAACTCTGATCTTAAATACAGAATCTAATTTAAAGTATAAATTAACTATAAATTAAGTTTTATATTTAGGACAAGAGGTGATATAATGGATATCTATGTTGGCTCCTAATTAAGCAGGAAACTTTACATTGATGAAGTAATTTGAGGAGGTAAATGATCTATCTAATCTATTTTGACGTGTTATGAATGAAAAGGGCTGGCGGAAACGTGGCGAGGCGTGGGTGAAATGGGAATATAATTGCAGAATGTCAGTGGGAGAGGAGTACGAGTCAACAATGATGAAGGCAACATGGGAAGACAGGTCATGCGTAAAGCGCGTGGTTGCACTTGTTCATGAGGGATGCCTTTAATTTCTAAGAACCGCATTCTGGGATTGCCTTTGAATATATTCGGATCGGAACATGATACTGTCACCAGTTCTCAGCATAAAAATTAATTTAATTTTTAATTTAATTATAAATACAAGATATTCTAATTCACTTTATTCATCGTATTTATTTATTCTTTAAATAGTTTTTGCAGTAATTACATATACTAAAGATTTCATTAAATAGTGATTTTAACTAATACACATAATTAACAAAAGTATCATAGGGAAGATGACACTGATTTATTACGAATAACTAACTTAACAACTTTTTTAATCTATTTATAGTAATTAACTACTTTTTCCAATCCTCAATATAAGGTCTATTTTATAGTGTAAACTATAAAATAGATATTATATTTAGAATCAGAAGAGTAGTTTTTATATTAAAAACTGAAAGATACAGTATGATGTAGACGGAGATGAATGTACTTGAAAAAAAAAGAGACGGAGATGAATGTAGACGGAGATGGTGACGATGTGAAAGAAGAATATCTTTAAAATATATTTGTATGCTTGTTGCTGTGTTACGTTCGATGGGCGATGCCTTCATGGGCTGAGATTAAAAAATTTGAAAGTGACCCAGCGGTCGAGAATCAATTGTGCTGTGGCCTCTCCTCAGATGCATTGGCCTCACAGCCATGTTTGGGAGTCCATTTAGAATAATTTATAAATGGGTTTTTTTTACACATATATTTATAAATAATTTTAAATTCTGATCCAAATAGAGCCGTGGCCTAGTTATGTTCGTTTTAACACATCCATCACCAAATAAAGAGGTGTGTACATTGGATCTTCAATATAGCAGCTACTTAGCTAATTTGAGATAGATTTAAAAAATTAGTTAAATTAGTTATTTGTAATAAATATAAGTTGATTTTTTTAATCATGATTACTTTTAAATAAAACATTCTTAATATATGTAACTCACAGAAAGAAAGGATCATCAATTTAGAAGACAAATTAAAATGAATTAAGATGATGTTATATTAAAAGCTGAAGGTAATTAATATAATTAGGATATACGATGCTCCTTTATTTTATGAATCATAATAGTTAATTGGTCACTACTACTGCGGCTCCGCTTCCTCGTACGTTGCCGTTGCGTTTCCTAAGGCGCTCTGAGGCGTGCGGCAGAAGCTACTGCATTTTGCAGATCGCTACGTTCAACTAACTAAACGGCGCCGATTATGTTCAATGGAATTAAAAGCTGCTTTAATTTGTCAAACGGAACATGAATCATTATTCCGTAGTCGATCTGACAATTTTCAATCGCCAAATAGTATTACTTTCTATCATAAATATAAGAGCTAATTGACTAATGTGAGAAGATTAAAAAATAAAGTTAGTTATTTGTAATAAATAAATATTGTCTTTCCTAAAATATCTTTCATAATCAAGTGCATAAGTCAGAATTACTATTATTAGAAAGACTATCTTGAAAAAAAACCATAAATATAAAAGATAAAATAGATTGTGATTTGTATATTTAGGATCGAAATAAAAATTAAATAAGGCTTCATATCAAGGACGGGAGGCAGTATTAGAAATAAATTGATTGCATCAATTTAAGTAAATACGCCAATATGTAATTTATCACTATTAACCAAGCATGTATACATACATACGTACACACATAGGAGCTAAGTAAACCCTAGAGCCCTCCCCGTAAAATCAGTCTTCAGAAACCATCAACTTGTAGAAGAGGCCGTGGAACTTGTCCATTTCCTTAGGCGGTAAAGCCACCAGCACATTCACGCCGTGACCTTCTCCTTCAATGGGAGGAAACAAGAGTATGATATCCTTCCTGTGGTTTACCACTGGACAACTATACTTGGGCTTTCCCCATGGGTACTCCACTTCTGCAAAACCTAATTTCCACCACGATGACACCAGCACTTCCCCGTTCGGAAACCCACTGTACATCTCTCCCCAGTCAATCGCCGATCTCGCATACTCGTCCGTCATCCTCATCGCTCCCTCCCTCACCATATCTGCCAACTTCCCCAACGGCCATTCTTCCAGCTCTCTCACCCTCGCCGTCGCATACGCTGACAGCACCGCGTTCCCCGCGTATGATTTTGGCAGCGGAGGGTTCACCCTCCCCCGTATGTCCACCGCGTAGAGTATGGTCGACGACCGGTTAGGGTCGTCGCCTGCAGATAAGGCCTTGCACCTCCACACATGGGCGGTGATGACGTTGAAGCCGCTGATGCGAGCGGTGGGCGGGCTGCCCTCGGCGGATTTGGCCTTGTCCTTGAGGGAGGAGATGTCGTCGGAGGTGAGCCGGAAGATCTTGAAGTCGAGATCCTCGGAGGAGGCATGGAAGACGCCCGTGTGAGGGTCGGTGTCGGGGAGGCTGGTGCCGAGCTTGAGCAGTTCGGGGTGGGAGAAGGTGACTCGTGGAGGGGATCGAGCGGCTAGGAGGTGCCTGTCGTGGCAGGGAGTGACAGACAAGGGCTTGTTAGCGGCCAGGGCGGCGAGGTTGTCCAGGAAGGTCTTGAAGCTCAGGCCGTCGAAGGTGGTGTGGCTGGTGGAGAAGCCCATCGCAAAGCCGCCACACTTGAAGAATGTCACCTGCACTTAAAACCGCAACGCTAATTAACCATTTGAAAAAGCAGGGCGTTCAATAATATTTCATATGCTGTAGGAACCTGGACAACGCATAGAGGGTGGTCGCCTGGTTTGAGGTAATCCTTGTTCTGGTGAACCAACTGTGCAAAAGCTGGATTAGGATACGTCAAGTCTCCCATGTCGTCCAATTCGTAGTCACAAGAAGCCTCCACGAACCCAACTCCTGCGCCATTGCACTCTATCTCCAACCTACCTGCCTCACTGTTTATCTTCAATCTTCCTGCAAAGAAATCATAAGCCACCGTAGCATCGGCTAGTGCCTTCTTCAACCTGTCCGCCACAACGTCCGCCGGAAAATCCTTTCGACACGCAAAGAAGTGAACTGTTTCTACGTCGAAGTTTAAGACTCTGTCTATGTTTGATAAGAACAAGGATCTTTTCTGGGTTGGCTTTGATGGAAAAACCATCGACCTCTGCTGGATTTTCACGTTCAGATCTTGAAGCCGAGGCTGAGCTTCGTGCTGATGATGAAGCGACCCCATGATTTTTCCTTCTTTGAATTGGAAAATGACTAAACAATGCCTAGACTTTAGAGCTAGATTATTTGGCCTTGACCTTTGAGACAGAAAAGTGGGTGTGACCTTACTATTTATAGTTTTATAAGCTTCATTTGTTAGATCAGTGAATGGTTAACAATGCGCCACGAAATTCAAACCCCGGGGGTAGCTGGGGGTTATGGATAAGGTGATTAATTATAAGTGATTATGTTTGATTTTAATTTTGTGGCCACAATGCATCTAAACTAATTTATTTACTGTAGCAGGTATTTTAAGATGTTTTTGTAGATTTCTAGGTTGAGTACCTGAAAATTATTTCTCAAGTTAATGTACTCTGTAGGTCATGATCCGTGTGATAATGATGTGATAATCTCATAAGTCAGAAGCATTGGAAATTAAATCATAGGATTTTGAACAAGGCAAGAATATATTGCGTTTAGGAATGAAAATAATATTATTACTCTAATTTGAAGAAGATCTGTTTAATTATATGAATTTGAGAAGACTGGAATGTTAATCACAATAAGAAGTTTCACTGTAGATTTTCACAGAAGTTTCAGTCCATAGCTTTAAGTCTTCTTATTATTCAACAGAAGTCCATAATTGACAGAAGTGTGTCCACCACCTTTTCATGAGGCTGCTGGTTTAGTTAGCCGCCCGCTTGCCGTGCCATTTAAACAGGTAGGCTTAATGGGTCATGAAGACAGACCTTGTACGTATCTATATTTTTCAACTCTAACTAATATTCTTGTTGGCCAAAAAAAGAAAAAAAGCTCTTAATTCTTATTGGAATTTATTATGATACAGCTGCAACGGGCCCAGGATCCATATATATATATATATATATATATATATATCTCTGTGAGAAGATGACACCTCCAAGGAGGGTAACGACCTTGAATTCTGAAAAAACAAATATGACAGATCAAAATGCTCTAACTCGGTTAGAAATAATATATGGCGACTTTAAATTAAGCCCTGAAATCTCACATGAAGACATCTTGATGCGTGACATTTTTTTTTTTTAAATACTGGTAAAGAAGTAACTTTAAGTTAGTTCTTAATCATCACTTTAACATTTGAGACCTTTTTCCCATTACGCTCTATGTGCAAAATGGCACCAAAGTATTTTCATACAAAGTTACAAGCACACGTATCTCTTAGTAAACAGAAAGAAGGCGCTGCCATTAATTAGCTGGCATGAAAGGGAAGTTGTCGTGGGGCTATATATTTATGGGGTGACCGTCACGTCATGTCTCCGCTGAGCTTGAATTTGGCAGCATATTACCATTTTTAAAGTGGACCCACATTCACAATGCTTCATTAATGATCTTGTCTCTGCTGAGCTTGAATTTGGCAGCATATTACCCCTTTTATGGTGGACCCACATTCACAATGCTTCATTAATGATTTTGACGAAGCTAGCTGGGTGCAGGTTTGTTAACGTGTGAAAGAAACTTACCAGTTGAAACCTGGTCATGAGCTATAAGCCCACATTAGGCTTTCAAGATTGCATTGCCCTCTGGGTAAAATGTGAATCGAACCAGATTTTCAAGCTTTAATGTCAGCTGCTTGCCCATCAAATCGCCTCTTTAATATCAGAAACCAAATTCAAGTCAGGTTTGGCTCTGAATGGAAAGTGGCCCTTCCAGCATAAATTTTTCCATCTACTTAGCATTGTTTAAAGGATGAAAATGCCAAAAAAACCAAAAAATAAAAGACAGCCCGAATCAGAAATCAAGCTTGGAAACTTCAACAAGTTGATGCCCTGGATAACTATGTCTGCTCAGTATGGAAATGGCAACCTTGTATATACCGTATGTCGTTTATGCTCAGCTATCCGTGGCTGCGTATAGCTGGTCTAACTCTGTCCTCCACCAGAGGCCGACTATTGCAAGTTCAATACCACTATTTCAGATTATGTACAGACTCTAATAGGACATGGGATGAGAGCCAAGCACGGAATTTAACCTGTCATATAATCAATGTACTATGATGTGAACTAGGAGATTACATCCACTGGCAACGCCACCCCACAAACCAGCTGTATAAATGTTCGACTCCAACAAGAACAAAGTGTCAGAATGTCAGATGAATCATCACGTCACAGAAACCAATATTTGGATCAATACTCAGTATACTAAGTAAAGTGCAGACAGTAAGAACTTAATAATGTGCAATTAGTGCTTTTGCATGCTGGGTAAGCTCCGAACTTATCACTGAACCGGATTTCTAGTTAATAGAATAGAGTATATCTGTGCCAGGAGTGGTTTTATTGGATTAGCTAGCTCTGTGCCAACCACTGCAATTAAGTCGATAGCACAACCTCAATCACCTGTGGAAACAGATCGGACTTGTGATAATGCACAACTCCCGGGAGGTACAGTTCATTGTCTTCCACCATCTGATGGAAGAAGGTTTTGAATCATGCTGAATTCAGATATCATGCTGTTACGGTGAAGCCAACATCAAACTGATGTTTCTGCAAAAACGAAAAATTGGAGTTCATATGCAAGTTTCCTTCCGAGGATACAGAGGTGAGAGGTGGCCAGGTGATATTTCTAACATCTTCATAGGAAACAGTCTGGTTATACTACAAAAGACGACTTCAGGCAATCCCAGTGCAATCAGATCTGTACGAAAGTATTTCTTTCATGCACCTAAACCAAATATTTATGTGGGATGGTTGGTCCAATTTCGATGTAAAATGTTAAGTGGACTTCATACAGGAGTAACGTGATTATTAAGACACTTGACCAGCAAAAATGTCATCACTCTAATCAAACTTAAACCAGATGCCTACACCTGTCCAACATACAGATCAACAGAAGGAGTCGCCTCGTTCATGATGTTAAGGATCTTTGCAAATGACGAGAGTGGAAGGAAGATCGATTTTATTGCTTCCAGCACCAATCAAATATAGAATGATGGAGGTCTTCCAATTACATCGAACTTATTTAGAGAAAAATTGTCGCAGCATACTATCAAATTCAACTCATTATCATATAAACTGCAGCACAGTGATAAATTTTAACTAAATGATAGAATTCTTGAAACCCTATGCCTCTATGGCTATAACCATAGCTCCACAAGTCCTTATGAAAAACTAAAAGAAACTTCAATGCATCCGCCTCTAAAATATTTCAGTTAACGTCATAACTGCTTTTTGCAAAATCACTTTTAAGACCCTTTTGGTTCAGACACGAACATCATTTTAAACTCAACCATCACCATATTTATTTCATAGTTATCAGTTGGGTGTTGTCTTGGATAAATCCATTGAATATAAGGTGTTCAAATTTGTAATTTGCAAGTAAATTACACTGTTTATTCTTTTCATTCAATGATCATGGATTTATTAAGAACTAGGCTTCTCTTTAAGTATCAATGTACCTAAAGAGTAAAATTAGTACAAATCATTGGCAGAAAACCCGTTTTACTTAAATAACATAAAGCCACTGGTCAATAATCGACCTAAGTTCAAAAATGCCATGGGGAGTTAAATTCAAATCTGAACTTAAGAAGGCATCACTGATGCCGCATCAGCATATTAAAAAATTAAGCAAACCTACTATTTTCAAGTTTCATTCAACCACACTACGTCAGAGAGTAATAAACGAGCACATTAACTAAATGCATGCATATAAATCCAACCTTAGAGAATTTACCGATTACTAAACATCATTATCGAAAATCAAAACCTTTCATCAGTTCAACAGTCCGTGTTTCTATTTAAAAAGTGAACTTGGTGAAAGTAACCACAACGGAAATCAAAATAGATAAACTGCCTCATACAGCGGCATTTATCAATTAGTCAAAGAATGAACGGAACAAATCAAAACAAAAAGCCACCAACGAACAGTCTGACAATATCTGAGCACATGCTTGGTGACTATAGTTACAAACAATAGCCATTGGTTGATTACGTAGAAAAGAGAACCATAGAGAGCTACCCAAGGAATTAGTAGCCTCTTGTAGTACATCCTGTTGAGCCTCATTACAATACAAGATTGAAATGATGGCGCCGTCATAACCATTCCTTTTACATAACATGTGACCATGCGGTTAATTAAACACCATGAGATTTTTTTTTCCAAGTGTTTTCATATTCCTATTATTTTGCATTGTCACGAGCAAATGTCTTGGATGTCTCAGAAGAAGTATTCTTCATCAAAGTCATCAAAAAGCCAGAAAAGATATCTTAACAATAAAAACAAAAATTTAGAGTAGGGTGCGAATTCTTACTGCAAGAAAAAAGCTGACAATTGAATATATTGTGATGCTTCTCATAAGATGACAAGGAAGTTCAATATAATACCGCATGAGACAAAATGAACTCAAGTTCCTAATGAACTGACAATATACAGGCTTCTAAAGGAAATGTATTGTTTCTTATTGACATCTCATGTTTCACCACCAAAATAAAGATCCTATTTCTCACTTGACGGAATATGCCCCCTCTATACACTGTGCAGAGTATTAATAAAGCTAATAGTCTATTGAAGAATCCGCACCTTAATCGTGTGTCTTATTCAGTCTCGGCTTTAGGTACAGTCACCTTCAATGCAGCTTTTCTCTTTTCTTGAATTTGGTGGACAAATTCAGCAATTACTGCATGCAATTTTGGACTAGGCTTACGATGAGTTGGGATAGCATAACCTGCCCTTCTTACTGCACGAATCAAACACCTTTCACCTAATTGGTAATGACTGGGGCATGCAGGAGGAACTGTGGATCTCAGTACAGGCTTATTACATATAGAAGGTCCAGTTGGCAAACTGCAAAGAAAAAAATCCTTATCAGCAATGTTCTCTGCTCTAGAAATGGTATTTATCACAAATTAGGAAATCAAGTATGCATATTGGGAGCCTCATCCTGGGCACAAATTTCAGTACAGCCACCATATTGAACAAGATAGTCTCAAATTCTTAACCTCTATTTGAAATGGGCTCCCAAATAACGTTAAACTAGAACTCTAGAAGAGGCAGCATTTCACATTAGAATGATCAAGCAAATGATATTTACATGCTCACTTCCATGGACCACAATTAGCCCTGAAACTGAAATGTGCAGATACGTTGGTTTTCTGGTGACATCTACTGAAGGGCTAACATACCAATCTTAGAAAAATCACGACCCTTAAAGGGCAGCACTTGGACATTATCCAGAAAGTAGAGTTAAACTTATGCATCATAGCAAGAAATGTGGTTGTTTTTTACTTAATTAACTTGACCGTTTATTCCTAAATGAAAAGAATTGCCAAAAGATTTAATGCCTGAGAAGATGAAATTATGATAAGGATTTTGATGCAAAAACTACTTTAAAGCTCAGGCATGCTGATAGGAGGATTCAGCCAAGCCTCTGTATGCAACTCCAAGACAAACTACTTGACTTCATTTTACACAAAAGGCTTACTTTACAAACAATTGGATCCACCACTGCTGTTCGAGTTTATCTTGATTTGGTTTGAGAAGAAAGAATTGGGGCCATGCAGTGAGCCAAAAAAAAAAAAAGTTTCACAGACACCAAGTTTTCTTAATATATTGCGAGCTTGATAGTGTGCTTATTATTGGTACGAGCAACACTTTCTAGAGAAATGAGGGAAAAAGCATGACAACAGCACAAAGGTGATGCTGGTTCTCCACATAAGAAATGAAACTAAAAATTTTAATTAAAAAAATAACCAAACATGCTTCCAACGTAGAAATTAGGAAATATTAAGACCAGGAAACTGAGTCCCGACTGCCAAACGGCAAACTAAAAGCACGAAAATCCAATTCCTATGATCCTTATACGGCAAAATTGATAGTTGTAAAAATTTTCAAAGCAACAACCACCCTAGAAATCACAAGGCAGTTCCACAGTTGAACGCCTCATAAAGCGAAATTGTTGCTCAGAACACTAAATCCTCATGAAAATCATTCATCCCAACCTATCTATGCTTCTAATTCTAAACCTCATCGTGATGATTTCTCTTAAGTCTCTCCAAGCAAGCACAAGGCCATCCTCAAGAACAAAAGCCGTTAGACATATATCCTCCACGGCCTTACCTCATATTTTCCACAACCCCACATCTAATTTTAGAAAGGCATGATAATGGGAACAAAAGACCATAGCATATAGTAGAGTTTGAAAGAAATAACAAATTTCCTTATTTGGGTAGCCAGTTAATATTTGATAAAAGATGCAATGAACCAAATCACTACATCCCAACAACCCAAATAAAATCCTATTGGTTTCTCTGAGCAATCAAGCATGTTCAACTACCATTGTGGAATATTATTAATAAAAAGAAATGAAGAAGGAAAGAACGATTAGGGGAAGAGGGGCTTACTTCTTGGCCACGGCGTTGCATCCCCGATAGAGTTTCTGCTTCGAATCCGACAGTATATGGTTGTGACAATACCTAGTTAACGCCATGGGCCTCGACTTGCAGCCGCTAAAAGCGCAACGTGCGACATCTTGACCAACCCCACCATTGGAACCAATGATTGCCTTTTCATTGCCATTGCTGCAGCTTACATTCTCCCCAGACGGCATGACGCCTTCAGTGTGCCTGGCCTGATTGTTTTTGTGATCCTCCACAAAAGGGCTCATGCCGTAAGTCCAATAGTAGTCTTTGTACTTAACCTTGAGCTCCTCCATAAGCGACCAGTAGTGGGCTCTGTAGCAGCGGGCTAGTTGCTTGATTCGGCGGAGTCGGCGCCGGAGTACTTCCTCGCGCGTGAGATACTGCGAATTGGCCAAGACCGAATCTTGGTCGGCGCCATCGATGGTAATACTAGGGGGCAGTGCAGAGGAAGAACCCAGCTCGTCCATGACCGAGACGCCGGAAAATCAGCAGTGACAGAAAATAATTGACTGAATCGCCAACGAGCTCCTGGCGATTGTTTCTCGCCTTGAATCTTCCTATCTGCTCCAGAGGGAGAAAATCCGGAAAAATATGGGATTTTGTTTTAGTTAATAGTAATTACGAATAATTTCTTTCTTTTTGGATTTTTTTAAAGTCTGTTCTCTTGTTTTCTAGTACTATGTTCTCTGCCGATGGCTGGCTTATTAAAGTTTAAAAAGCCAGCAGGCAATTTACCAAAGGAGACGCCCTGAGATTACAGCCGCGCCTTTTTTTTTTTCCCCTTTTCTTTTCTCCCTTCCAACGGATCCTTTTAAAAAAAATTAAAAAAATGATATTAAAAGCTTTTAATTAATTTTATTATTTTTTATATTATTTATTCTCTTTATTAAAATTTTAAAATTCTATTTTTCTAATTTTTTAAATAAATCTTATTATTTTTTTTATTTTCCTCGTAGCAGACAATACCTTGAAAAAAGGAAGATTTTTCCCCAAGAATGTTTGCTGCGCCTTGGTCCATATTTAAAAAATCATAACAAATCTTTAAACTGATTTTTAGCTTCGAATCTTGCCTGCTTGGCAAATGGTGCAACCAATTAATTTTTTTAAGTTTTAGAAAGTTTTTCTTGCATATTTATCACGTATAATATAAAGTTACTTAAAATAAACTATATATTTGATTAAAAAAATTACTCTTTATTGGGTATTTGTTAGATTTATTTTTCCTAGTGGGTGTTTCTTTTTTTTTTCAGGAAAAATTACAGCGTTAATAGTAAATAACGTAACAGGTAACACTCATTCAACATATGTTTAAATTAGTAGTTCCGCCTAGATAAAATTAAAATCAATTAGATTACAAATTAAATATAGATATCACGAGAATGTTATAAGTTTAATAATTTTTTATTATTTTGATAATAAATAGATTTCATTCCATCTTTTTATTTAAATTTTTTTAATGTTCTGTGATAATGTTCATGTTGTTTAATCACCATATTCGTCAGTCATAATTAATAGATTATGGACAACTAATTAATCTTGGCTAAAAAAAATGAACAGCCAATTAATACTTGTAATTAACAAAACAGCCAGGATCTAATAAAAAATTACAAAAAAATTAACTAAAAATCAAGTAAAACTATAACAACCGATCAATACATTTTTTTTATGATTCTCTAATCAAAAACAATTTTCTTGGAAAAAATTAAAAATACTTTTGAAATTTTAAAGTTTTTGATTATAATTTTTTTAAAAAGTAACCAGAAATCCAGAATCTCAATAATTGATTCCCAGTGCGTCGGCCCCTCCGGCCCTTCATGCGGAATGCACGGCCACAACGAGCTGTTCTTTTCTTTTCTTTTGTCAAAGCGACAACAAGTATTTTGTAACCCAAAAAAAAAAAAAAAAAAGTAATGACGGTATTCTAGTTATTTATATTTAAAAAAAAGGTAAAAAATCCTTATTTAAAATTTTAATTAACTAAAAAGATCCTGAAATTGTGCAAGTACAAATATGATCGTGAAAATCAAGTTTTTCTGACTAATTAAAATTTCAAATAGGGATTTTTACTAATTTTTCTTATATTTTATGGGTAGCTTGGCAAACAAGATATATTCACATGAAATTTCAACACATGCACACACAAACCGTTCACATTTACCATAAGCAGCATAATTTATACGATTAAAAAAATAAATGCTCCATCCAGTGCTAAATATAAAACATTTCTAGTTGCCTCACCTGTATTAAAAAAAATTAAATCACTGAAAATGATCTAAAAATGAACAGCGTTCTAAATTTATCTCTGCTGGACTGAGGATGCCTTATGGGTAGCCTTTTTCATTGGGTAAATAAAAAAAAAAACAGTCAAGTATGAGAATAAATCAGCATTAATTCCCCTGGAAGGATTGGAGAACAAGAAAGCCAATTAAATAAGAAATTAATCCCTATTAATTTTCTTATTGTTAATGGAGGGCCAAGCAAAGAATCATCATTTCATAATAAATGAAACAGATAATACTTTCTTATACAGTGGTCACCTTAACCTTATAAATAGAATATACCTCCCCCACCTGTTCTTTATTCTTGCTATTTTCTGGCTTCCCCCTCTAGTTGCTGTGCCACCCTCATTTAACCTATAGTAATCTGAACTCTATGTAAATATCAGTTATTTGATTTGCAGAGTTTGGAAACTTGAGCTGATTCGAAATTGAACTCGTGCTGGTACACTTTCTAAGTTTCTATTATTCTTGTCTGTTTACTGAAAGTTTCTTTCTAAAATAATAATCTTTTTAAAATATCTTTATTGATTACATGTATTAAAATTTTTTTATTTTATTATCTAAGGATAATAATTATTAAAAAGGATACTTTGAGAAGATCAATTCATATTTGTTATAAAAAAAATAATTTTACTTAATTTTTTAATCTACTTAAATTAATTAAATAGTTTTTATATTTAAGATTATCGACAAATGAAAGTATCATGTGAAATAGATTTTAAAGAAAAATATCTTTGTGGTGATCAGACAAATGGAACCTAAAATTTGACCCCATTGACTCTACTTGTTTTTCTGTTTTATTTAAAAGAAGAATCGAAACAAGTTTGGCCTGCGATGGTAAGGACTAATGAACGTTGATGATCTTTAGATTTTCCTTTTTATATAATTAAAAAAACAAGGAATTTTCTGCGGTGCAAGAAGGAAAAATCTGAGGAGCACGTTGGTGGGGCCGGAAGTTCTTGAACAAAGACAAGAGGGGAAAATCTTGCAGCGCAGCTTGGGTAAGCTCAAGCGGAAACCCTAGGCGGGAAGAAATCAGGGGCCGAAAGTCTCCTACCCCTAATCATCATCACCCAACAGGTAAATTTCTTTACAATCTGGATCAAATTTTTCGGGCTTGTAACGCTGGATGACGATATATTCAATTGTTCGATTGCTACATTCGTGGACATCGATTTTCACTCGATGTACTGATCTATGTGGAACTAAGACTAATTGATTTACTAGTTTATTCCTTTCTGGTAGATTTCTTTCAATATCTTAATTTTGACCCATTGGAAACTGGTTCTGGTCATTCTGTTTCATTTTCTTTTCTTGATTTGTTTGAGCACCGTTTATAGTTCCCGAGAATATGTATCTAAGATTTCTGGTTGGATTAATCCTGTCTTACCTGAACTGATGTAAGGCCCTGGACAACTTTTAATGACTAAAAAGTGGAGGCCAGGTTTTGCTGCAAAAAATTTACAATTATTGCTAACTCACACAGAGAAAGGTTAAATGAGGCTGGAAAGGGTTACACAAAATGCAACTTGGACACTTTTCAAATTTCGTTCTTTGCTACTGGATTTGCTGTAATTGATTTTTACGTCTGCATTGAAATATTCAATTAAAAGGTCCACTTATGAATTTTCTATGCGTGCATCCTGATTTAGTTTAGAAAAACTCAGCCTTGAAATTCCCACGTTGATACATGAATAAAATTTCTTGTCATAGATTTGACATTTTATTCTTTCCAGTACCGTACCAAATTATGCTCACTCATAACCCGCTGGTACGGCTGATATTCCTCAACTATTGAACCAAATCACCAAGGTTTAAAATATCCCCATTAACTTCATATATAAAATATATGTAAAAAGTGAAAGAGAAGAATAATTTGTTTACGCAAGCTTTCAAATCCTGGCTTTCCGTCGAGTCTATCATCATTAAAAGATCTGTATCAGGTCTTTCATTCATCATTTTAAGCAACCAATTTACTAGTATTTGATTTTCCCTTCCTTCATTGCATGCTATGCGTTTGTAGCAGAAACAGATGTACATAATGGTCCTTCTTTACTGTAACGGTGTTATCTGATGAGTGAATGAATTAAAATATTTGTGATTTTGACTGGCTTTTACATGTTTATTGATTCATGTTTCCTAAAGTTGCTGACATGCTTTCTTGTGGTAATGGTTGTAGGTTAGTCTTCCATTTTACCTACAATGGCTGACAGTAATGAATCAGACAAGAACATTGAGATATGGAAGATCAAGAAATTGATTAAAGCATTGGAAGCTGCAAGAGGTAATGGCACCAGCATGATTTCTTTAATAATGCCTCCTCGTGATCAAATATCCAGAGTCACCAAGATGTTGGGAGATGAATTTGGAACTGCTTCAAACATCAAAAGCAGGGTGAATCGACAGTCAGTATTGGGAGCCATTACTTCAGCGCAACAGAGGTTGAAGTTATATAACAAGGTTCCTCCAAATGGATTGGTTCTTTATACTGGAACTGTTGTCACTGAAGATGGCAAAGAAAAAAAGGTGACCATCGATTTTGAACCTTTCAGGCCTATTAATGCGTCCCTTTACCTTTGTGATAACAAGTTTCACACTGAAGCTTTAAATGAGCTTTTAGAATCTGATGACAAATTTGGTTTCATTGTAATGGATGGAAATGGTACCCTTTTTGGGACATTAAGTGGAAATACTCGTGAGGTGCTTCATAAATTTACCGTTGACCTACCAAAGAAACATGGTAGAGGAGGACAGTCTGCCTTGCGTTTTGCTCGTCTTCGAATGGAAAAACGACACAACTATGTTAGAAAGACTGCAGAACTTGCCACACAGTTTTTCATTAATCCTGCCACTAGTCAGCCTAATGTTGCTGGACTTATACTTGCAGGTTCTGCTGACTTCAAGACTGAGCTGAGCCAGTCAGATATGTTTGACCCTCGTCTAGCGGCAAAAATATTGAATGTGGTTGATGTTTCATATGGTGGGGAAAATGGTTTTAATCAAGCTATTGAGTTATCTGCCGAGATTTTGTCAAATGTGAAGTTCATACAAGAAAAAAAGTTGATAGGGAAATACTTTGAAGAGATCAGCCAGGATACTGGTAAATATGTCTTTGGGGTTGATGACACATTGAAGGCTCTGGAGATGGGTGCCATTGAGACGCTTATAGTATGGGAAAGTTTGGATATCAATAGGTATGTGCTGAAAAATACTAATACTGGTGAGACTGTCGTAAAGCACTTAAACAAGGATCAAGAGGCTGATGAAACCAATTTCCGGGATTCAGCCACCTCTGCGGAGTTGGAGACGCAGGACAAGATGCCTTTGCTGGAGTGGTTTGCCAATGAGTACAGGCGATATGGTTGCTCGCTGGAGTTTGTGACCAATAAATCTCAAGAAGGATCACAGTTTTGCAGAGGGTTTGGTGGCATCGGAGGTATCCTTCGCTACCAGCTTGATCTCAGATCATTTGATGAGTTCTCTGATGACGGAGAAGTGTATGAGGATTCTGATTAAGCGTCTCCCTCGTAGAGCCTTCCTTCACTTGGTTATGGATAATTGGACGGGGCGTCGTTGCTCTTATGGCGGAACATTACCTTCCATCGCTTGGATTGTATGGCTAAGATGTAGTTATTTTGCGTTTCATCCCTAAAAATGTGCAAGTCATTTTGGATATCCTCTGCTTCAAACGTTTGTTTTGATTTTCGTTTTTTCTTTTTCTTGGGTTTGTCAGTCAATGTAATATGGCAACTAAATCGTGATGTCGGTTGATTCCTCAAGGAAAAAAGAACTGTCGAGTCGTGGCCCAAATTACAGACAACAAGTGCTTCTGCTGCCATATGATATCTAAATGGCGGCGGCAATGTAGCATTTAAACTTTATCTGGTTTAGAAGAATTATATGTCTTTAGTTGCTTGAAATCCATCTGTCTCCTGTTTCTCCCCAGAGCCCATTTCCAAATGGAACCGTGCTGCGAAAAGGATTGGCCTCACGCGAAGGGACAGATAGATGAAGGCGGAACAATGGGAAGTTGGGATTGATATGTTAGGTGGATAATATAGGAGAGACTATGATTTATTGAAATAAATCTAGTAATTTCATATTCGTTACTTAGTTTATGTGGCTTTTTTTAACATAGAATTTTATTATGTAAAACAGTTATTTATTTATAAATGACCTTTTTTCAGAGGTGAAAATACAATTTCTGTGATGATATTCGCTAGAGCCTGTCACCAATCACCACTTCAAAGACGTGGGATTGGCCTCCTTTTGTTTTCGGACTTCCATTTTAGAGCCCGACACATCGCTTCCTCTGCGTTTCACAAGAGCCTCCAAACGATTGCCGTTTATCCACATCGGAGGCGCGGCGGAGGATAATAGCATCGAAGAGAAGCTGAACCCCAACTTCCCAATTTCCTCGTGTGGAAGAAAGTGAGCTTGAACTATCGCACATACATGGGGGCCAGTAATGACCCGACCCAAGACGGACTGGACGAGCAGCAGAAGCGGTCGGAGATCTACACCTACGAAGCACCATGGCACATTTACGCCATGAACTGGAGCGTCCGTCGCGACAAGAAGTACCGCTTGGCCATAGCCAGCTTGTTGGAGCAGTACCCAAACAGGGTTGAAATTGTTCAGCTTGACGACTCTAGCGGCGAGATTCGATCCGACCCTAGCCTCTCCTTCGAGCACCCATACCCTCCCACCAAGGCCATCTTCATTCCTGATAAGGAGTGCCAGAGGCCGGACCTCCTCGCCACTTCTAGCGATTTTCTCCGAATCTGGCGCATATCGGACCCGGAAGAGAACCCGACCCCTCGGGTGGAGCTCAAGAGCTTCCTTAATGGGAACAAGAACAGCGAGTACTGTGGCCCTCTCACCTCTTTCGATTGGAACGAGGTGGAGCCTAAGCGAATCGGCACTTCTAGCATTGACACCACCTGCACTATCTGGGATATTGAGAAGGAGACGGTGGATACGCAGCTTATCGCTCACGACAAGGAGGTTTACGACATCGCCTGGGGTGGTGTGGGTGTCTTTGCCTCCGTCTCCGCCGATGGCTCCGTTAGGGTTTTCGACTTGCGGGACAAAGAGCATTCGACTATCATCTATGAGAGCTCAGAGCCTGATACCCCCTTGGTTCGACTCGGCTGGAACAAGCAGGACCCAAGGTACATGGCCACAATTATCATGGACAGTGCCAAGGTCGTCGTCCTAGACATTCGTTTTCCGACTCTTCCTGTGGTTGAATTGCAGAGGCATCAAGCTAGTGTGAATGCCATTGCTTGGGCTCCTCACAGTTCTTGCCATATCTGCACTGCAGGGGATGACTCTCAGGCTCTGATATGGGATCTTTCCTCAATGGGCCAGCCACTGGAAGGCGGATTGGATCCTATTCTTGCATACACCGCTGGGGCGGAGATTGAGCAGCTTCAATGGTCTTCATCTCAGCCGGACTGGGTTGCGATTGCTTTCTCCTCCAAGCTTCAGATTCTAAGGGTATAAAGGATTGGTATTTTCATTCACCTAATTGTTACATAGTTTTGGCTTCTGCCACTGAAGATGCATGGAAGATTTCAGGTCTATAGTTTTATTTTCTCTTGTGAACATGCTTCAACCCAATTTGGATGATATTGATGACGCATTGTCCCCCCGTTCTGCCAATTGTGGGGAGCATGAATCATGTCCATTATCATTTTGTTGAAAGTTGAACCAAACCCCCGCCCCGCCAAAAAAAAAACTCATGTTCGGATTTTCGATCATTTTTTTTTTGTCCTTCTTGTTTCAGTAGATACGTGACACAAACGGGATAAGAGTCTTCAGTTCGAGTTTTGTGCCAGGGCCTTCAGGGCTACCGGCCATCCTTGCTTGTTTTACCGATTAAACCTTGAACGGCTAACTCGAGAGAATTAATGGCTTTAGAAATGAAATAATTCAAGCACAATCACATGCCTGGATCTAACCTGGTTCAATTTTTAAGTGTGACGAAACAGTTGAGTAAACAATCTGGTACAAAGCCAATGACACATTGTCTTCTTGCGCATAGATATCCTTGTATTGAAAGTAACAGAGAATGTGACACGGAGGAAATGTGATGTTAATGAAATCCACATCTTATATATTCACTTTACTCTTTTCTATTTCTCGTCAAATGCATCATTCCAACTATAATTTTTAGCCTTTTACTCCCAACCACTTGCCTTAATTTCCGGTTAGGCTGACAATCAATCATGCTACCGGCAAGTGCAACTCCCTCGTAATGGCAAATAATTGACTAGAAACCGTACTAATAGAAGCAAGGTAATCTATTGTTCTCCACGCAATTTTTTGTGCAGTTAGATGTACGTGTGGTTGAATCTGGATTTGGGAATCTGTCAGTCGGGACAAAACATACGGCAATGAGGTGTATCCACTTCTGTCAGTAAATCAATTCTGTTGAATGAACTGTCATTTGTCAATAATGACCAAAATTGTGGTAAACTAATGGAAGGAAAACATCTTATGGTGATCGGAGACACGGGAGGACCAAAATTTGTCGCATGGACTGCAAAAATGGTCAAACTGATTTCCTGCTAAAGAAAAAGAATCATAATTGGACCCCACTTGTATTTAAGCTACCCGTAAGTAGGCCGAAGCTCTCACATCACATGGCATCCCATGGTGTTCTCATCACTGAAATAGTCCCCCACTCGTTCAGCCGGTCTCAGGAACGGTGGTTGAAAGCTTGATTTGTCAAGATGGCAATATCCTTCAATGGGAGGCGCTGGATATGAAGGTATTGCATAATAGGGAACTGCCACTGCGCAAGGCTGAGCAATGTAACAGTGCTGAGGATGAATTTTGATGTTACTGTGTGGATGCATGCTCGGATGAACCCTGAAATCAACTTGTGGTTGAACATCGAAATCTGACTCCGGATGAGGCATAAGAGGATTTTCCTGCTTCATATCTTGAGGCGAACTGAAAATATTTGCTGTCATGTTAGATTTCGATTCCTTGTTTTCCTTTCTTGGATCTTGGTTCTTGCCTCTGCTTCCCCCTTCTCTGATTTCCCTAGCTTTCTCAATTTTAATGTCATCTGAATCGACCTGCTTTTCTTCCCGATGCCCATTGTTTTGTTTTTCTGCCTCTCTCGTTATGGCTGCTATTCCTGCCTCTTTCTTTCCTGCTTCAAATTCCTCGTATCTGCAGAGTTCTGCATGCTTTCCAACTTTTAAAAGCCTTTTGATTAATATTTGTGGATTCACGTTGCCTAACACTGTTACTTTGGGCTGCAAAGTGTCTATATCCAGCTTCAGAACACCTAACAATGTAAATCACAACAGTCAGCACCTGAAGAAACCAGAAAACATATAATAAGTAGTTATCCAGTAGTTACCTTCAATCCTTCCTAATGCCCTCTTCACCTTTTTCTTGCACCCTTCACAGCAGTTAGCAGACACTTTCAATTCAATCTTCTGAAATAATGTCAATGCAAACAGGTTTAAGTTCGTATTTAAAGTGTTCAAGTGAAGATTTAAATGGAACGAATGAAAATGAAAAGAAACTGAAGTTAGTAGATGGATTTAAACTTAAAGAGAGGGGTGCTGGGTTCAGCACCTTCAAGTCTACTTCCCTTGCCATGTTTCTGATCAGTTTACTATTGAAAGTAGAACTTGGAAGCAGAAGGGTCCGGGGGGCCCAAAGAAAGTTAGGAAGTGTAAAATTAGAGCGCTTTCTGGGGCGGTCGACCTGTTGCAGTGGCCACCCTATTTATATGCAGCCAAAAAACAGAGGAACATTGCTAACCATAATGCGTAGCTTTACTTTTCAATATTATATGGTATTTGCATGTACCTTCTCTTATTTAGCTCCAACGCAAAAGCGTTTTGGGACAGCTCTGTAACCAAAACTGACCCTTCGGATATTCACAAGTTTATTCCCCTCAACCAAAACATACAGTAAGTTGTACCCTAACAGTACTTTAAATTTACTGATCAGTCCTCGTAGCATTTTTGTTGTTGCAGAAAGTTGATATTGCTATGGCCTTAGACATTAATAGGAAGGCTCTGCTAGTTCCTCACTGCCTCTTCTTTTTGTGGGGTGGGTTTCTTGAGGTAATCTAGTGTGAATCATGCGACAAGATTTAACCTCCATCATTCTTAAAAATGGGTGTCTAGTATTGCAAATTACTACAAGATCTATTCTTCCATAAACTCCACTGACCACTAATTTATATCAGGAAAAAAGGGATGGTGACGGGACCTTCACGTTGAGGTATATATATGTTCAACTATAGTCTATAATCTATATGGGTATTTCTATTCATCAACTTCAACCATTGGAGATTTCATGGCTGTGGGGTTATTATGAATGAGGATTTTAAACGTAAAATTTTCAAAGGCTGGAAAGCAGTGGGGTTAGTTTCTCATTTGTGAGAGCTCTGACTCAAATTCAAATCATTGTAAAGAAAAAAGGTCGGTCTTTGACCTTGAGATTTAGGTAGTTTTTTTTTCTTAATTAAAAAAAAAGGCTTATGATTAAGAAAAGCTTGTTTCTTAAGCACCGAATATGCGTAGTTGGCCCAGAAAAAGAAATGCGTCTGAAAAAATTTCAAGGACAAAGGCAATCTTTGTAGGGCGCTTTTGCTTTGCTTTGCTTTGCTTTGTTTATTATGTTTTGATTGAACGCTTTCGTCATGCCAACAAGGACTCAATATTCTGTAAACCCAAAGATTCAAGCACCCAATTAAGCACCCATGATTTCTGACCTTTATAACTCTGCTGTTTAACTATCATCTTCAAATCACCTCTCTCTGCCATGAAACTTAAACATATGTTACGGGATTGAATGAGGACCGTACACGTGGATTTGTGACAGAGAGAGAGAAAAGCAAAGATGCAGTCCAACTCCATTCTTCTGTTAAAACCAGTGTATTTATTTAAGTCGCAGGAAAGTTTAAACTAAAGATATTTGAAACCAATGTTGTTTACGCTAAAGATATTTGGGAATATATAGATTCCCTGTGATTAAAAATTGAGCGCATAAACACTATTATCAATGCCTCAGATTCGGCATTTTGAATCATGTCAATGGGACTGCATAATAACACTATAGCTTAATAGCCTCTATACTATCCAGACCATCTTATTAAAGCAGCGCCACCAAAATCACATTTTTACATAACATTGCACGTCTCTTCTCTTACAGCATTCAAACTAGAAACTCTTCAAATTATACTACCTTCAATTCTCAATCTAAAAACTAATTTGATATTCAATTTGGTCCTAGATATTAGACTTTAATCCCTTTTATCTATTTCAAAATAATCATTGTTGTAGTTGTACATTTTGAAGGTTTCATCAAATGGTAGTTTTAGCTGATATATATTTTTATCATTGAGACCGAACATATGAGTATAATAAACATTAAAAATAAACCAAAACGATTGCACATTATTTCACATGTATATTCAATATTTTGCAAAACACCTTATATTTCAATTCTTAATATATTGATTCTCTTTCGTAACAACACAATGTTGTGAGAAAATGTAGAACAACAGGTGGGTGAGACCCATCCAACCCCTGTGTCCATCTTTCTCTTAGTAGGATCTTGCGTATACAAGCAGAGGGACATAACCACAACTTCCATCGATTTCAATTAACCACAAATTGGTAGCTTCAAAATCTTGAAAATTAATGGATGGATGGCTTGTTTGAAGAAGAACCGCGTATTTGTGAGCAACACATGAACCCAAGTAAATAATGGCCCCAAGTGCTGGCGTTTGCCCATTAGCCATGCGTTGAGATTTTTTATGATTTCCTAGTTTGTAATGTTCAGAGTTTTGTATGGAAGAGAGAGAAACCACAAAAGTGGGCCAGTTGGGATGGCAGGCTCAGGCCCAACGATGGGCAGATATGAGGAAAATAGGAGAGCCACAGATGATTGGGGTCTCGCGCACAAAGACGAAAGCACCAACCACAGCCATTCATTGTACGGGAGGCTATCCAGAATCTCATCCTCACTCTGCTTTTATCAGCCTCAGCCACACATCTTCCTCCTCTCGGACGCTTAATAAAATTAACGTCACATTATATTGAACCAGAAAATATTCACTCATTTCTGTTGATTTCTCTTCCCCCCACCACTACCACCCCAGCTCCTTCGGAGCTTTCACTTCACATATCTCCACTTGCTGGGTGATGATCATGGCTTCGGCCACTCTCTCTCTAGCCAAACCAACTCTTCAGGTTCCACCACTTGTTGTTTCTTTCAAAATCCGATTCTTTTATCTCCCATGTTTATAAAAGCGGCAATGTTATTTGCTGAAACTGGAGCCGCCTGTTTATGATCGGTGTTCATCTTTTGGTGCAGGGAAATGGAAAGGGCTTCTCGGAGTTCTCCGGCCTCCGCAGCTCATCCGGCTACCTTCCTTTCTCCAAGAAATCCTCCGACGACTTCCATTCAGTCATTGCCTTCCAGACGTCTGCAGTAAGTACTCGCATGCCTCCAATGCCTCTTCATTAAATTCTCACCTATGTCGATGCGATTTACCCACTTTACTTGTACTTGGCTTCTTGGCATCTGTGAGGATCCAAGAATCTCTTTATGGATAATGTATAACTCTCAAAGTACAAACTAATATAAGAGAATATTTTAGCAGGTTCATATGCTTGTGTGTCGTGTTTTTCTTGATACTTGATATAACGATAATTAAACAATCACGGATCATAAAATTGCTTGCACGACGATAATGTGTATATGAATCTGCCCCCAAGAACACACCCTGCATATAGTACATGAGCATATATATCTCTGTACGTATGTATTTGGCTAGGCATTTCTTCATATAAATATATGAAAGAGAGAAGAATGAGACTACAAAATGATAGAGTTATAGAGATTATGATGAGGGTGTGCTAGAGTGGAAGTGAAAAAAAGAATGAATGGTATAGTAACTATGGAGAAATGTGATGTGAAGGTTAAAAGCAGTGGAGGGTACAGGAAAGGAGTAGCGGAAGCAAAACTGAAGGTGGCCATTAACGGGTTTGGAAGGATCGGCAGAAACTTCTTGAGATGCTGGCACGGTCGCAAGGACTCTCCTCTCGACGTCATCGCCATCAACGACACCGGAGGTGTCAAGCAGGCCTCTCACCTCCTCAAGTACGACTCCACCCTCGGAATCTTCGAGGCCGACGTCAAACCCGCCGGCGACACCGCCATCTCCGTCGACGGAAAGATCATCCAGGTCGTCTCCAACCGCAACCCCGCCAACCTGCCCTGGAAGTAATAATAATCACATCAACATCTCCCTCCTCGATAATAACATCTTCTATATTCAACAAATTAAACTGCTGTATTTGAATCGCAGGGACATGGGGATTGACTTGGTGATTGAAGGAACTGGAGTGTTCGTGGACAGAGAAGGAGCAGGGAAGCACATTCAAGCTGGAGCCAAGAAGGTTCTCATTACAGCTCCAGGCAAAGGTGACATCCCTACCTACGTGGTCGGTGTCAATGAAGGCGATTACAGCCCCGACGAAGCAATCATCAGCAACGCTTCTTGCACCACCAACTGTCTCGCCCCTTTCGTCAAGGTCCTTGATCAGAAATTCGGTAATTATCGTCTCCTGCCTCCTCCTTCAAATTCAACTCCGTCGTCGCCATGAGAATTTCTATCATCACCAACCCCTTGTGTCTTCTTGTTTGACAGGAATCATCAAGGGTACCATGACTACTACTCACTCCTACACCGGAGACCAGAGGCTGCTCGACGCCAGCCACCGTGACCTGAGGAGAGCCAGAGCCGCCGCATTGAACATTGTGCCAACTTCAACTGGAGCTGCGAAGGCGGTGGCCCTTGTGCTGCCAAGTCTTAAAGGGAAGCTGAACGGTATTGCCCTGCGTGTGCCCACACCAAATGTGTCAGTGGTGGACCTTGTGGTTCAGGTTTCAAAGAAGACTTTTGCAGAAGAAGTGAACGCTGCTTTCAGAGAGAGTGCCGACAAGGAGCTGAAAGGGATCTTGTCAGTGTGCGATGAGCCGCTTGTGTCGGTGGACTTCAGGTGCACCGACGTGTCGTCCACCGTGGACTCGTCGTTGACGATGGTGATGGGAGATGACATGGTGAAGGTGATCGCTTGGTATGACAACGAATGGGGTTACTCCCAAAGGGTTGTGGATTTGGCTGACATTGTTGCCAACAAATGGAAGTGATGAGCCTCTCCCTCGACCATCTTCAGACCTGGGCCGTTTTTATTTTTGTATGATTACAACATTTCTTGCTTCTTTTTTTTCCCCTTCAATTTTCTTACTAAAACCTGTACCCAGAAATAGAACCTCCAATTTTCTCTCGCCTCCTTATTCTGTAATAAAATTCTTCTCGCCTTGAATTCTGAATGTTCATGCCATGCCAGGAGTAGGAGCTTTTCTTCCTTGTTCTGTTAGCTTTGGCTTAAAACAATGGCATGGAAAATGTACACTCAACTGGTCCCTTGTTTTCATGAATATGAGTGACCCAATTTACTATCTCTCAGTAACCTGCCATTGACTCCGTTTGGCCAACAGCTTGAGTTAAAAGACTGGGATATATCGTCAGCTTTGAAACCCAATCCAGAACCCAGTTCAAGCAAAGTTCACTC